CCGTCTGACTCTAGCCGCTCTAGCAGAGGGAGAGATCGGTAGCCTTTGAGACGGCACCGCAGATGAGAGTCTCGCATCAATACGGGAATCCACAGTCAAGGTGGGGTCCATTTCTCGGGTTTGGGCAGAGTCAACCCTGCGTTGCGCAGTTCTCAACGGCCACGTTGCGCAGTTTCGCCCGATTAGACACGTTCTCTCGCGCGAACATTCACACTCGCATGCTCGAGCCGTCTGTGTCTCCGCCCATACAGCGTGCGTTGAGGATCTCTCAACGTGCCGTTGCGAACTGCGCAACGCAGGGTTGACTCTGGTTCGGGGCCGCTTCACATGGCTTTTCCTTTGCCCGCATCACTGACCACCTCAGGTTTTATTCTAATGAGCTGCCTTTTCATCGCAAACACCGCCTTCAACTAGCTGAATGACCTCACAGATGGCTTCCTTCTTGTTCGTAAAATAGCACCTTACGGTTACACGGTACACTTATAACCGATAGTATTCTGCCTCCTCAATACGGCTGCTTTTGGTGGGGAGCGAAAGTTCGATCTCGGTGACGATCGTCCGTGCCGATCACAGAGTGCGATGCAACATGTTCCCGTGGTGATGTCATTTTTCAACAGTACCCTGCCACCGCTATCGTCACGTGCTCCACGGGAGTTTTCTAACCTGCTGGATTCAGTCAAGACCACTGCCATCTGAGCGGGTGTGTGCGGGTGTGCGACAGGTGTCGTGTGTAATGTGTCCTTTGATGAGGGTTCGCCCATAAACGTCGACTACCGTAGTCGTTCTGATGTCGAACAGGGTGTGGTGGCCTTTGTCGGGTTGTCGTCGACTCTATCGGCGTCGCGATGTCGTTGCGCGGGGCGCTAGCGAAAAACGACTGGGTGTGGACACTGGAGCGCCAAATCAGGCCGCCGAGCGTGAACATCTCAGGCGGAGACGTTTTGAAAGTTGCGCACGTCGCTACCCCGGCTGGATACACTGCATTGGATACAGACAGTCGACAAGGAACCAAAGCGGTCGGATGACCAGGTAATTCGGTTACGATCGGTCGCCGTTGTGGTGGGTGGTAAATGCGGAGGGGACGGTCGCCCACATCATTGATTCACCATCGCACGTCACAGGTCTAAGGGCTATTGAAAGTGATGGCCGGGGAAAACCCTGCCAAGTGCGATGCGTTGGCCGATAAAGTGGGGAAAGAGAAGAACTACCCGTAAGCTGTAAGCCTCAAATAATTTTTCTCTCATATTTGCTGGATGGGATACAACTCAGCCGTTTCAGATGTGGGCAAATGAAACTGCTCCCAAACAGCCCACATAACTTGTCGTGGCCGCACAGACTTATTCTGACTGCGTGGCAAGACCGAGTCCTCGTCCAACTCAACTCCCCAGAAGCGGCCATGTCACCTATCGAACCTGCCCAAGCCGCTCTCAATCATCTAATTTCACTTCCTTCTTCAAATCAGATCAATATAAAAAGGTGAAAACGTCAAAATTATTGAGTAGTATATTTTTCACTATAGAAGAACTGGATTTAGTGCTTAGAGTGTAACAAACCTTTGTCAGTCGTCGCCGAATCGAGTTATGCCGAAGTCGTTCGTAGGTGTTTGGCCCAGCACCAAGCTCCTCACGAAACCTGAACAGAGAAACTATTGTCTCCAACGGTAACTCAAAGTTAGAAAGTATACAGTAAGCTGGTACGATAACCACGGATTGGGCACCTTGCCAAAAAACAATTTCTAAGCCTCATTCCACTATCAGGTTTTGGTTTAGTTGGTTTCAACCAAGGTGAAAATCGGTTAAGAATTTGTCGACAACTCCTCGAGGATTTTCGCTTGTTCAGTCACGCTTTCCCGTGCGGACAGTAACTCTCGCCACTATTCTTACACAGCACAGAGCCATGGTCAAGGATTTCCTCGACCGTTATCCACACTGGTTTCAACTTTTCCACTTAACAAATCAGGATTTTCCAGAAGTTTGTAACAGATTCCACAGATTTCTTTCAAAAGTCGTGCGCTCCTGTATTCTGTATCCTAATTTATGATTCCACACCGAGAAGGCAACCAATGCACAGAAACGAAATGTGACATTTCTCAAGCGGTTTGGTCCAGAGAATCCATAAGTAACTCCGGAAACTCGGAGCACGTCATTCCGCGTCAAAACACGGGTCGAAAATCCGGAAATGCGGAAGATCACCCCAGTTTCAAGGACTGGTCCAATATCAGCTTTACGAAATTTTCGTTGAATTATCTAAATAAAGGTAAATTATATGACGGAAATTTTTTCTGCCGCTAAACGACGGGAGCGAACCTTTCAAAAACTTCGGCTCCAAAGTGATTATATCGTCGTGTTGCTTCGTGAATTTCGTCTCGACACGTCGTCGTCCTTGCTACACGTTGCCACTGAAGTTGATCAATTATTATTATCTTAATCCTTTTACCAGAATTCAAATAAACATGTGCATTTTATCTATTGGAAAGCTATTTACTTTAGTTTAACATTTTGGTAGGTGTTATTTATTTCTATGATATAGTTGTTGTGAATACTTCAATTGTTTTTAATGTTGTTCATCTATACAAATATTTTCACCAAGAGTTGCTTTGGCATTGTAACAAACTTTCCGCCCAGGCAGGACTAAAACTCCGCACCCTTCCTCCGCTTTCGCGGGCAAGTGCGCTAGCCAGTTTTACGCTAACCCCCTTTGGGGGAGAACAAACTACATTTCCCTCCCAACGCAAGGTTCTATTTCACTGGGTAAACCAAAGATTCGTATATCCGATAGCTTTATCGAGGTATGTTTACATATACTTATTGTATTTACACCACTATATATTCTGAAACCTAAAATAAGATTTTCGTTTTCAAAAAATGATTGACATAGCTACCGCGCGTCTAGAAAAAGGAGGCAACTCGAATAAACAGTTCTCGTATCGAAATTTTCTTGTATTTAATTTTTATTGCGATCGAATTTTTGATGCTTATTTATTTTGTATATCTTTTTCCAAGCATTAATTCTCTAACTCGCAAAGATACATTCCATTAGACAGCAGATAAGTATGTGGTCGATAGAGAGAAAAGATGATTGGTGGATAATTTTTTGCGGGAAAGTTGCTAAACAATCCGAATTCCGTGATGCGCAGATGGTCGGCGCACCCAAGGCTAGGAGGACGGGCCAGTGTGAGAATTCCATGGAACTAACCGAAAGATCGACTGAGACACTAGGGGGCACAAATCAGAGCGCACTCAATTGGGCCTTCTACAGCATATTGCAATTTTAGGTGAAAGGCTTAAACAGAGTATGAGGAGATGAGAAGGTTGGTAGGGGCAGGGTATTGAAGTAACAGAGGTGTGGAGGTCGGAGGTATTCGAATCCGAGGTTTTTTTTTTGGGGAGGGGGGGGGAGGAGGGGGTTGGATCAAGCCATCGTTGCGACTTGTATTTCGGAAACTAAAGCTGAGAGACTTAGGTGAATGTAGAGGAAGGATGGTGTGGGTTAGGGAGAGGAGAACAGGCTCGGGTTGGAAAGCCTCATCGCCAAGTCGATTGGCTTCATGCTATTGTGGCTATTCAACAGTCAGATTTGGTATAGCACTGAGTAACAAACATAAAAAATAAGTACCGTATTATAAGATAACGAAGACTGCATTGAAAAGGATAACAAACTGATTGGTCGGCGACGCCCGAGAACAACAAAGTCTTTGGTGATCATTTGAGTTTTACGCTTTTGAGATTGAACGGAATTGACTAGGCTAGTCACATTATCGTGGAGGTCATAATGGCTGAACCATAGAACAGTTATGTAATATGTAGACACAAGATGGGTAAGAGGATCGAAACACTAAACAGAACATTCAGCTACGAAGGGCTAGGAAGTTGCGACAGGGCCTAACCATGTGTTTTCTGGCCTTTTACAGGGCATCATAGGGATTAGCGTCACAACCATAACTCGACCTTTCACGAGCAGTCTGATTAAGAAAAGCCTGTTTTCCAGTTTAACGATGTTTGGCAGCATACTTGGAAAGGGTTAAAGCATCCGGCGTTGATCAATCACTTTCCGAGTGCGCCATGCATTCTACGTCCATTCTGAATCGTAGTGGGATTGCCAAAGGAAAACAGTCCATTCAATGAGTTGTGAGGGCGACAGATGTCCAAATCAGGGTTTTGATCCTACTAGGTAGGCCTTGTACCCATTCATCGATCCCATAGGGATAGATGGCAGGCTTGGTTTACCTAAGAGGCGCACGACCCAGAATTCGATCCCCGGACCATGCGAGTGTTAAATCTCTCACCATACAACTTTCGCTCAGTAGGATACATTTACTTATGAAAATAATAAAGAAATTTTTCATGAGTATCGGAAATGAGGAAAAAGCAAATGACTCCACTTCATCGGACTGTGGGAGATTTTGGAGACACGCTTCCAAAGCGAGTTTGTTAATAAGCCGAAGTGGCTCACAGCGCTTCATAAAAAATACAAAACCAATAAAATCAATTATTATTAGATCAAAAAACAGCAAAAAAAGCAAAAAGAATCGTGATCGAAATGAGCGAGTCCTAATAAATTCTTACCGGCTTCGATAAATCCAGGCGAGAGCCGGATGGCGTTCGAAGCGCGAGCGGTGGCATCGATGGAGAGACGGGGTTTGTTCGGGAAGTGTACGACATTCTCCACGGAGAAATGGTGTGTAGAGGACGACGAACTCGTTGTGGAGACGCTCGAACTGAACGACTCGTTGCTGAACATCAGCGGCGTTCGTCTCGATCTGTAACAGAAACGGAGCAGGTGATATCTAGCACAAATTGCACGGACACGAACGCACGAACGCCGCAACATGTGTTCATGGGTGTGACCTTTTCATCGCAAAGATGTGTCGTTTCGAGCACATTAGTGGGGTGTTAGTCAGAGACGAAATGATGACGACGACGACGGTGACGGCAACGACGACGACGACGACGAAAACGTGAAGAGCTAGAATTATCTGACGAACTACGGAGAAAAACGTGTATTGTACGGAAACTAGTAGTAGCAGCAGTCATCGACTGCAAGGTGAAGGTTACAGAAAGTGCGTTGACGGAAAATGAGGTGATTGATGCCGTTGGCAGGAAAAACAGATGCAGTGGGAGAAATCGTTTTTTCTGAGGGAATTATCAAGTCCAGTTTGCTGAGACGCAGGAAACTTCTGCGCTTCTGGCACTGAATATTGGCACTTTTTCTGGAACAAACCCAATCTTCTCGATCAGTACCGAGCTGGCCCTCAGAGCATTTCGTGACTGACCAGTCCAGCCAAAAAATCCTACATGTCAGGCTTCCCATGACGTTCTACTCTCACAAAATGCTGACTCGGCTAGACCGTAAACGGTTTTTTCTCTTCTCACCGGTAATTGATGGGACATGGGCACTGTTGTCTTAAGTCTAAACGCTTTTAAAGGAAAATCCGAGGTTGAACTGATGTATTATTGCATTTGCAAGTGATAGTGAAGATATGATGTATACCGACAGCAATGAAAGAACGGGAAGAAACCGTCGAAAATGATGAAAATAAAGCCCTAGTCTCTAGTAGCTGCGAAGCGAAAAGCACTGATTTGTGGGCGGTCTCTATAGTGCTGGGCGGGTCCAATGCTTTCAATTTACCATGGAACCAGGGTCAACCCTACGTTGTTACTAGTAACAACGGGGGGTCGTACCTGGTTGAGTTTGTAGGAGGGGGGGGGGTCGTATAGGTTGGGAGTTGGGAGCGCGCGGGAGAAAAATTCGCCGTTTCAGCGCGTGTATATACCCCCGCCCCCCTCCCGCTCGACGGCATTTTTGGAGGAAAAAGTGGGCGGAGTTTGGTGGGTTGAGTGGTATCAGAATTAAATACTATGGAGGTGTGGAAAAGGGGGTCGTATCAAATCCACCTTGGGTCGTAAAAATTTTTCAAAAAGTAACAACGATAGGACCGAC